TGTGTAGAAGCCCACATTTTGTTGTACTAATTTGTGTTTTACTTTGCTCCCTGTAGTTGAGCCCGATGAATCTTGAGTGACTCCGCAGGCCTTTGAGTGTTCAGAATGTTAGCATGGTAGCGGAGCGCCTGGCGGTCCTTTCCTTTGGTCAGGGCTGTGAGGTGGCTCGTGCGGGACAGGACCCAATCCCGACACAGAGAGGTAGTGACAAGAACACGTGGGAACTTTGTTTGGGGTTTGTGTTCAGGGGCCCAGACTTTGAACTTAGGTTCTGCCGTTCGGGTTTCTACAGATCCTTGTAAGCTGAGTTCGTAGTGTGCAGTTCCGGCGGCCGTGCCGAAGAGCCATAGTGTGTGGTGGAAGGCAAGCCCACCTTTTCCTCCGTGACCTTGCATCGGTGCATTGTGCCATAGGATTGCGTGACAAGCAGCATACCCCTTGTTGTTTCCTTTCCACGAGATCCTTTGTTGGCGTGCATTTGCAAGCTTGAGTCTTGAGGCGTTGCCGTACCTGTGACACTGAGTGATATGGCTGATGCTGATGATGACATCTCTGATCCAGAGTTGCAACCACATGCAACCCCTGGAGGTGCCACTGCGGGTCCTCAGGGACCGTTCCCGAATCCTTTCAGTCCTGTTGTAGGGTCACCGACAGCAGGTGGTGTGGATATGAGTCAGATGGTAGCGATGATGCAGCAAATGATGATGACATCTGAGGCTGCAGCGCAAGCGGCTGCTGCCGCCGTGCAGGCAGTCCGTGGCGGGACTTCAGGCAATGCAGGTGCGTCTAGTATGTCAGGCTTCAGTGACGCCAACAAAGTGTTAAGCAGGCCAGCCAACTTCGGTTCCACTGATCATGACTTTGACCTGTCCCAATGGCAAGATTGGGCGCATAGTTTTCGCACTTGGCTTATCTTTGCCGATGGCAGATACGAGGAAGAGTTGGCTCATGTTGAGGCCCGCCTTAGCACCACATACTCCCTGCAAGGCCTTCCGGCCGATGTCCTTGATCGCTCGCGTCGCCGATACGCAATACTGGCCACCGTTCTTCATCACAAACCGAAGTCGATTCTAAAGCAAGTGCAGGAACGTTCTGGTTTCGAAGTGTGGAGACAATTAAACAACGTTTTCGCCCCGCGATCAAAAGTTCGTGCAATGGCTCGTTTAAATGCCGTGATGGCATATCCGGTATTTGAAAAGTCTAAGACCCTTCGGGAGCAGGTAGATGGGCCAGAGCGTGTTTGTGGAGAGTACGAACGCGTCAGTGGTCGTGCAATCGACCCCAACGTGATGCTTGGGAGCCTAATGAGGTGTCTCCCTCAGGCCATCCGTCAGCACGTGCAGCTGAGCATGACCGAAGAGTCCACCTATGAATCCGTCAGGTCTTACATCCTTGCTTATGAGATCACCACCACGTCTTGGAGTGTGACCAAGGTTCACCAGAGTCTTGGCATCGTGGACCCTCCTGTCAATCCTGATGTCGTGCCAATGGAAGTGGATGCAGTTCAGAAGGGTAAGCGCAAAGGTGGTCGCGGAAACTCTAAAGGCAAGGGTAGCAGCAAGGGCAAGCCTAAGGGTGATGGAGGCAAGAATCCTAAAAAGAAACCTAAGGGCAAGGATAAAAAGGGAGGTGGCAAAGATGAGAAAGGCAAAGGCAAGGGCAAAGGCAAGGTCGACAAGTCGCAAATTGAGTGTTTCAATTGCGGGCGCAAGGGCCACTATGCGCAGGAGTGCTGGAGATGGAAAATTTCAGCTTGCCTGACATTTCTCTCTTCAAACTAAAGTTGTAGCGCTCCACCTTCGAGCGCGGGGTTTTAGAGTTCTTTTGTGACCTTTGGGAGTTGCAAAAATTATTTCAAGTTTTCAAAGAATTTTCCTCAGCATCTTGAACGACATTTTCAACTGTGTGACTTGCAGCATGCTTGAATCAACAGTTGGCCGCATTCATGTGAGCAGCTGCTCAAGCTCGGGCTGAGAGAAAATTTTTGTCCCTCGTTGAGCCTCCTCTAATCCTGTAAGGGTGCCGTGCTAGAGGTTCGAGGTGCTACTGGTCTCCCCTCAGGGGTCGTGCAAGCCGAGAGCCTGTGAGCTCTCGGCGGATGGACAGCGACTCGAGCTCTGCGAGCAGCTCCCTCAGTTGGGACTGGCCTGTTGTGCCGCCAGCCCCCCCTTTCCAGGCGGTTTGCATCCGGCCTCGATCCTTTCATACTGCTTCGCTTCAGCGGCAGCTGGACGCTCCTCCCAGTCTCTTTTCGTACGTCATCGAAAGCTCTTTCTGTGGCGTGCTGGTCAGTACCAGAGAAGGATCCAGGATCCTTTTGTTCCTCAACCCTCCTCAGTGGCTTGCTCTTGCTTGCTCCGGCCGCCGGCCGCATACGTGTGCTCGCCTTCTTCTTCAATTGTCCGACTAAGGTGCCGCTTGCGGAATGTCCAATCCTCCTTCCGAGCCCGACGCTTTCGACCCTTGGCTCTTGTTCGGCCCAGCAGGTGTGGTTGACCGAAGCGAGTACGATCTCGACGAGCAAGCCCAGTTTCTGCTTCGTTCTCTTCAGGGCTCTTTCCAAGGGGGTGAGTCGGGAGCCCTTGAAGACACCGAATCTTTGGGAAGTCACTCCAGGGTCGATTGCAATAGGCCTTTTCAGGGTTTGCCCGGGGTTCCAGTGGACGAAGAGGGTTGGGTCGACCCAGAATGGGTTCAGGGCAGCGAGCCTGTGTTCAGCCCACACATACCGCCTTCGTCTTGTGCACCTACCTCAGTTTCTGAAGCTGCTTGGTACGACTCCTGTCGTGACTTGGAGACAGACGACTACTTGAGTGCCACTTTGCGTGTCGCAAGCCATTCTTTTCAGGAGACCGATGACGCATCTCTTCTGGTCCCTCTTCCAGAAGACAGAATCTTAGGTGACTTCCAGCGTGCAGCTGTGGAAGCCACTTCGCAACAGCGTTTTGAGAGCAGGCCGAGATTTTCATGGGAATCATCTTCGTCTTTGCGTTTTTCCTGGGAGAGAGGAACGAACCCCTTGCATGTGATTGGTGCAAACGATTTTCTTGATCCAGAGGAATCCGAAGATGAAGCAAAGCGAAGGTGTGTGCCACCCACAACAGTCAAGTACCTAAAACGCATCACTGTGGAGCGGTCCGAGGAAGACATTCGCGCAGCTGCTCTCAAAAAGATGCGGCTGGTCATCTTGTGGGATCCAGAGGTGAGTAGCTTGGGAAGGTCCTTGCTGTCGTTACTCGGTGCCGACGTAAACGAGGAGGCCATCAAGAAGACTTTCTCAGATGCATTCAGGACCAAAGCTTCCAGGACAATCTCAAAGCGAGGTGGGTCCCTCCTGAGGTACTTTTCCTGGTGCACAACAGAGAGCATAGACAGCCCTCTGGCAGTCGATGAGCCGACCATATATATGTATGCAAACTTCTTGCGTGATTCAGGCGCCAGGCCGACTAGTATGACGCATTTTGTGGAAGGCCTCCGCTTTGTGCACGGGGTTGCCAAGTTGCTGCATATGGAGCCTGATACAGTCCTTTCCAGTCGGGTGCTTGGAATAAGCCGGGATCTGTATTTGATGAAGCGTCCTTTGCAACAGAAACCTGAACTGACTGTTCCCATGGTGATGGCATTGGAAGCATTTTGCGTGGAAACTGGACCAGTACTTGCGTGCATTTGTGGACAGCTGCTGTTTTGCACGCATTCGGCTGACAGATGGAGCGATTCACAGAACCTTAAGGAGATTTCAATTCAGGAGTCCAACGGCGTGATCCTTGTTGTTGCCTCAGGCTTGACATCCAAGACGACGGTCTCCAAGGAGGCAAAAACCCGGCTGCTACCTTATGCAGCACTTTTGCCTGGCTAAAAGCTCGCGAACATGAAGGCCTTTCTCTTGAGAATTTTGCGCTGCCGTCACGCCTCGAGAGCCAAAACCGTTGGAGCACTGTCAAGATGGGAAGCGTTGAGGCGACCAGCTACCTCCAGGACTTTCTGATTTTGAAGGGAATCGATCAAGACCAAGCCATGCAGAGGGCGACACATTCTTTGAAGGCCACGTTGACCTCTTGGGCGCCCAAAATTCAGTGGGGCGGAAAAGCGCCTTCTTGGACACCACATTGCTCCGAAGGAGAAATCACCCGCCACCTATGCCAGACAGCAGTACACCCTTCTGTACGGCCGTGTCATGGCGATGTTCGAGGCCATTCGCGCGGGAGACTATGACCCTGACTTGTCTGACGTTGATCGGGTGGTGCAAGTGGCTGCAGCGGAGAGGCCTAGTGCCGCCCATGACGTCATTGCTACGGAACCCGAGGCGCCTGTTCCACAACACGATTTTGACGAGTTCGAGGACCCCCCTTCTTCACAAAGCTCTGAAGCTTCTGAGGCTCCAGGCCGCGGCGGGGGAGGCTTAGTGAGGGCCCCTTTTGGGCCAAATGTTTCCGAGGAATCTCTTGTAGTGCACACTGTGTCCGGCATAACGCATTGTTTGAAGGATCAAGCCAACTTGTGGTGTGGCCGACCTCTCTCGAGGAACCATATTCCCTTCAGTGAGGCGGGGGTGTACTTTGAGGACCCCGACCCCTGTAAACAATGCCGGCACATTTTGGAGGCTGCAGAGTGATCGAAATCTTGAAGGAAAACGAGTGCATTTGTCCTTGTGAACAGCACAGACGATAGATCCTTCAGCCAATCTCAGGCGTCGCACCGAAGTCTGACAATCGGTGATGTCGCTCCCACTCGAACGCAAGTCGAGATCTTTGAGGGAGAACAACTGATGCCTACTCCAGCTGACTCGAAATCTTTATCGAGAATCACCCAGCTGCGGGAGCCGAGGCTTCATTCACCGTCAGAGCACTTCGGAATCGCAGTCATGATAAAAGCATGGGGTTCTGCTCTGGGAAACCGCGGACACGTTTGACTGTGTTGCAATACCCATCTTGTCCGAAGTCGAGCTTTGGGCTTCAACCCGACAAGGAGCGAGGTTGTCCCGACTTGCTAGGAGTCGAGCCATGGCGGGAATCGCGGTGGACAGCGAGGCCTGGTTTTTGGAGAGATGCCAGAAAGTCAAACTGAGCGAATCCACCATTCGCACCCTTGTCGATGCGGGCTTCAAGAGCTTCGGGACCTTGGCTTTTGCTGTGTCAACCACACCGACGCAACTAGATGAAGCCGATGTGAAGCGTTGGATGGGAAGCATTTTCCCCCATGACTTCCCGCCTGATCAGTCCTCCAAGGTGAGACGTTTGATGTTTGAAGCCCAGAACCTGAGCGTGGCTGACATGAGGGCACGCGTGGAGCCTGTCGCTGACACAGCGGTGGTTCGTGCTATGCCAAATGCGGAGCGATTGGCTCGCCAGGAAGCCTTGAAGAAGCGGGTCACGGGCCTCATTCTTTCACCCGAAACCTTGCCTGCCCATTCTGTCGTGGATACTCTCGTCAAACAACTGGAGGATGGAGTCCTTCAGTACTTGCCAGCATATCGCATCATCAGCCGTGCCCAAGAAGCTCAGCAGTTGAAGAAAGACCAGCAGGTGGTGGTTGATGGCGAAGGGAACCTGAAAATGGCTAGCAAGGCTGAGTCCGCCACTTGTGACACGCACACTGACTTGGCTTTGCGCAATGCTTGGACTCGTCGCTCGCTGGCCTATGATCTTGCGGGTCTCTGCAGCTTTCAGGTTCTTGAGGAGTGGTGTCACAAATGCTTCCTTGCTTTGATGAGGCCTGTGCCCAGTGGTTATTCCAAGGTAACCACTCATCAACTCATTGCTGCCGACCGGCACTTGTTCACGTTGGCCTCGCATGCCCTCCTTGGAAAACTCGCCGGCGAGCCCGGCCGCGAGAAGCCTTTGGAGACCCAGATCAGGCTATTGTCCGAGTCCCAAGAGGTTTCGCAGTACCTAAATGCTCTCCCTACTCCTCCTCCTTCTGCACCCTGGCCAGGCAAGCGCAAATGGGATGACCCAAAGGGGGGTGAGAAGGGCGATAAAGGGAGAGGTAGGGGTAAGGGCAAGTCGTCTAAAGGTGAGGGTCGCAAGGAGTTCACGGTGCCCGACGGCTGTGTGAGCCGCGTGAACGACAAGCCTGTATGCTTTGCCTTTAATCAAGGAAGGTGCCGCTTTCGAGTCAACTCCAAGAACCGTTGCGGCCGTGGTTTCCACATCTGTTGGAGAGCCGGGTGTGGTGGCGACCACCCTGGCCATCTGTGCACCAAGGGATCTTGACTCCGGGCGGGGGGCTCCGTCCTCCTCCCGGAGCCTGCGCCGCTCTCCCCGCATTGTGTCACGCCCGTCCCTTTTGAGGCCAACTCCGTTGGTTTAGGTCCCGAAGCCCTTGCCGAGCAACTGCTTCGCAAGCCAACCTTGGCGGCCCTTGATGTTTTGAGAGTTTTCGACTTGTTGCCCAGGAATCCATCTAAACGAGATGCCTTCCATCACCGGAGCTTTGGTTGCGGTGCCTGGGTGTTCGGGTCCCAGATCGGAATTCGTACTGACACTAAGTCTTTTCCAAAGAGCGCCGCTCTCTTTTGCCGCTATGTTCACCAAGTGAATCCTCATCACACCTTTTCCAGCTTAGTCTTGCTTGATGATGTTCAAAGCCCGCTTCATGTGGACTGCAATAACGACCGCTCCTCCTGGAATCTTGTCATCCCCTTGACCCGGTTTCGCAATGGCCAAATCTGGGAAGAATGTGAAGGCGGGGCTGACCGCTTTGAAGACGCTTCTGGCACTTTCTGGGGGCGTCTGCATGAGGTATCCGCAGAGCCAGTCTTGCTTCATGCCGCAGTGAACCGCCATGCTGTTTTGCCTTGGCAGGGCCGCAGGGTTGTGCTGATTGCCTTCACCCCCAGGGATAGTCCTAAGCTTCCCCCTCCCGACCGTGACTGGCTACGCTCACTTGGCTTTCGCCTACCCTCCCTCTCCGCCTTGCCCATCCCTGGCCCACCCAAGCTCTTTCTCGAGGTGTTCTCCGGCTCTGCAACCCTGGCTCGAGCCGCCCAGAGGCTCGGGTTCAACTGCCCCCGGCGCCCTCAGGTTCCCACGGTTCGCCTTGACCTTGCTTCCAGTCTGGGCCGCGATGCCTTGTTTCGCCTGTTGAGTGACAAAAAGCCTGCCGCGGTGCACCTGGGCCCCCCTTGTGGCACCTCTTCTCGGGCCCGTGAGCGGCCCGTGCCGGCAAAGTTACATCCCTCGGCCTCCGTGACCCTCGGCCGCTTCGGAGCGCCGACTTTCCCCTCGGCTTGCCTCACATTGACCCTGCAAGCGATGATGGTTTGCGCCTGGCCGCCGCCAATCGTCTTTATGACCTGGTCTTTCATGTCCTACTTTGGTGCGCTGAGCACGACTGCGTCTTCACTCTCGAAAACCCCACGAACTCGTGGTTCTGGAGTGTGCTGGCCTTGAAGGTCCGACAGCACGCCTCGCCCAAGGTCCGCCGCTGGTTCAATGACTTGCATGAGATCATCTTCGACGCTTGTGAGCACGGTGGTGCTCGCCCAAAGTCCACCAAGCTGCTCAGCAACCGGGATGCCTTTGGCTGCCTTCGTGCCCGCTGCAGCGGCCGTCGTGTGCATGAACCTTGGGGCGTCAGCTGGCGCGCTGGAGGTTGGGTTTGGTCCACTCATCTCGAGGCGCAGTATCCTGTTGTGTTGGCTGCTCGATGGGCCGCCTGCTTTGCGTCTGCTTGCGACGTTTCCCCTGGCCGGCCGGAAGCCCCCGACCCTCGTTTGCAGTCGCTGTCCGCCGTGGGTCGCCAAACCCGTAAGCGTAAGCCCTTGGTTTCCGAATACAAGTTCGTGCGCATCATGCCGCGCGGCCAAATTCCCCCCTCCGGTTGCAAGGTCCTCGGCGCGCCTCCCGTGCAAGGGGGTGACTCGGGGGAGGCCGCCGAAGTTCTTCCTGAAACTTCTCCAGACAGTGAGGGGCTTGGTTTGGATAGGGGTGAGGATTGCCAGGTTGGTTTCTACAGAGATCCTAGTGAGTGGTTCCAGGCTGCCAAGAAAGTGTGCCACCCTCTTGACTCCGAGAACGAACTCCCAAAGGAGCTGAAGGCTTCCCTTGAGGCCAACATGGTTGCTGATCGCCGGGCCCTGTTTCTTCGTCGAAAACTCGCACTGATGAAGGCAGAGATCCTTGCCAAAAAGTTAGAACAAGACGAGAGCAAGCTTCACTCAGCTATGCCATCGTGGATGCAGACTGTGATGCAAGGCAAGAGGATCTTACTTCTGGAGTCATTGTTGCGACAGCACAACTTTGACGACATGGAGGCGATCGAGCTTCTAAAGTCGGGTGTGAGGTTGTCGGGTGTGTCCGAATGCCCTGCGGCCTTTGATATCAAAGTGAAATCTGCTACGTCTACCGAAGCGGAGCTCCGTCAAGTGGCTCCCTTGAAACGAGCAGCGTTACTTCTGGAAAATCGTGTCTCTGACCCCGAGCTCGAACGCGATTTGCTGAAGGTGACTATGGACGAGGCAAAGGCTGGATGGCTTCAGGGGCCTTTCAGCAGTGAAAAGGAAGTTTCAGAGCACTTGGGGAGGTCGGATTGGAGTTTGATGCGAAGGTTCGGCGTTCGACAAGGAGGCAAACTGAGGCCGATTGACGATGCCTGCGATTCCGACTTGAACAGCACTTTCACCAGCACCATGAAGCTAAAGTTACAGGACGGTGACTTTTGCATCTCTTTGGCTATGGAAATTGCAAAGCGCGTAGTGGGAAAGCCGGGAGTCGTACCTAGAGAGTGGAGTGGCCGATGCCTTGATCTAAGTGGTGCTTACAAACAGATGGCAGTTTGTGAGCAACATCGGAGCTTGTGTGTTCTGCTTCTGCGTGATGCCGATGGCCACCCAATCTTCTTCATTTCTTCAGCATTGGTTTTTGGGGCTTCAGCTTCAGTCTATGCCTTCTTAAGAATAGCTCGGGCCTTGAGCTTCTTAATGAACGTCGTGCTGGAGATCCCTCATGCAAACTTCTTCGACGACTATCCAATCCTTGTGCCTTCGGAAGATGCTGAACAGGTGGGCCTCTTATGCACGAAGTTCCTGCACTTGTTGGGTTGGAAACATGCCGAAATTGGTGAGGGTCACAAAGGCCGCCCCTTTGCGAAATCCTTTGACGTGCTGGGCTTGCATCTCGACGTCTCTTGCATATCTTCAGGGATTTTGACGGTGGCTAACAAGCTCGGCCGGGTTGATCGACTCCTTGAGCGCCTTCGAGAGATCCAGGAGTCAGCAGTCCTCAGCCGCCACGAGGGCCAAGTCCTTCTGGGCCTCCTGCGGTACGCGGCTGGGTTCTTCGGAGGCAGAACTTTACGTTATGTCTGTGAGGACTTGAACGCCATAGTGCATCATGGACATCACCCTTCCCCTGTTGCGGTTAAGATGCTTTGTCGACGCGCCATAACTGCATTGGAATCGTCTAAGCCCCTCCAGCTCAAAGCAGATATGCCGAGTTCTCCGGTGCATCTCTTTACAGATGGCAGCTGGGAAAAAGGTGTGGCCGGAGTTGGGGCTGTGTTTTTCGACTCACACGATGGATCTGCAGAAGTTTATGGAGGCGAGATGCCAAAGGACATGGTCGAGTCGCTTCAACAGACAGACGGTGATCACTTGATTGGACAAATCGAAACCTACGCTGTCGTGGCCATGCGGATACACCTGGCTCATCGTTTTTCAGGACGCCGGGTGATCATTTGGACAGACAATGAAGGTTGTCGATTTGGGCTCATAAAAGGCCGTTCAAAATCCCACACGATGGACACTTTGATCAGGAGCTTCGCTGCTGCCGAGGATGCCAATCCAAGTCACACCTGGATATGTCGTGTGCCGAGTTACTCGAACATCGCCGATGGGCCTTCTCGGGGAAAGCCTGAGGAGGCTCTGAGAATTTCGGGAGCTGCTGCGTGTCAGTCTTTTCCATGGATTCGGCAAGCATTCGAACTTACCTGATAGCTCTCTTAAAAAGGGGGTATTTCGGGAGAGCAGGAGATCGCGAAACCAGATCGCATCCTGTACATGCTTGCCCCACGACTGAAGAAAAAGCGCGTCAGTGTAACCGAATGAGTCTTCAACACATATATGTGATTGAGTTTCACATGTGTACATAGAAGATGGAATTACTTTTGAGATTTCACAAGATAGACCTTTTCGCTAAAGCTTATTCCAATCATGAGGAATAAATTGTACACAGATTGCGTTCTATATCTTTTTCTATAAAACCCCAACTTTTGTGAGAGCTAAGGGTCAGTCCTCAGTGAATCAGGTCGTCGGCGCTGAGACATCCACGACTGTCACCTCGGTGGGTGGCTCTGCTTCGCAAGCCGCGACATCCTCCGCGGTGCCGTCGTCCAGCGCTGCAGTCCCGGGCTCTGTGCGCCGTGTTGAAGTTGACCTTTGCCAGCTGGATGCAAGTGATGGGAATGTGCGCATAGTGCGTGATGGGCGCAACGATGAGTTTGTGCAGCTTGTTAGCGCTTTGCATGCCCGAGCCTCCAGGGCCATGGAGGTCTGTGCCATAGCAGGAAGTGCTCCTCTGCTGGGAGCCCATGCGGTTGCAAACCCTCCTCTTGGGTTCTCAGCCAGGACGCCCCAGGCGAAATTGTCCGTTTTCCAGGGAAAACCCGAGATTCCGCCCCAGGCGGAATTGTCCGTTTTCCAGGGAAAACCCGAGGAATTGTCCGTTTTCCAGGGAAAACCCGAGATTCGGCCTCCACCTGTTCAAGCGCCCGCGCAGCATTCCATGTGTCCTTCTTCGTGTGTGTGCTACGACATGACATATAGTGATGATGATGCACACTGGTTGTCATGGGACGATGATACCCAGGAGCCTGTTCCACCGGGTGATGTGCGTGCCCTCCAGTGGCAAGGTGACCATGTGCTCCACCAGCAGGTGGAAATCGTGTTGGACTCAGGCGCTGACCACTCTTGCCTGCCTGAGTCCTATGCCAATGTGGGTCGCAAGGTTGCATCTTCCAACCACTGGTACCGGGATGCTCAGGGAAACCCTTTGAAATCGCATGGCATCCGTGAGGCCGTCCTTGAGCTCAGCGGTGCATCTGTGAAGGATCGCTGGCTCATTGCACCCGTGACGAGTCCCCTGCCGTGTCGGGTGGAGTGTTGGCAGAGATCAAGACGACAATCTTGTGCTTGAACGCGATGGCATCAAGATTCCTGTGTACCTGAAGCAAAATTCCTTGTGTGTGCGTGGTGACATCCGTGTTGTGATGAGTGACCCCACCTGTGATGTGCGCGCTTTGCAGCTTCATGGTCCGTTCCTTGCACTCACCGAGAGGTTCCAGGTGTTGTCTGAAGGTGTGCGTGCCAACCGATGCAACTCTTCGTGCTTGATCGACTGTGCTACTGCTCTTGCAGCGCATGATGTCAGGTTTCGTACGACGCTCATAAATGGGCCACAAGGTTGGAAGTTGCACGAGCTGAATGCAGAAGTGGCACGTCTTGATGATCCTGAGAGTGCTTTGCCTCACCAAGGGATTGAAAGGTTGCATGAGATCATCACCGTTGCCACTTCCGCCCGTGTGAACATGCTTGACCTGTTCCCTGAAGGGGACATCCCTGCCCCGGCACAGCCAGTGCCAGTGCGTGCTGAATCGGATGATGACGACCCAATGCTTCCTCTTGAAGGCCTCAACGAAGATCGTGATGTGATTGAAGATCAGGGTGCAGGCATTGGACATGACGAAAATCAAGAGAGTGACGAGCAAAGAGCTGCAAATCCGAATGCTGAGTATGTTGTGGTTGACGGCGTACGTCTGAGCATGGACTGCACTTTGGCCACCCTTAGGGCAGCATGCGTTACGCTTGGATTGGGCAAGAGCGGGGGAAAAGCAACGGTCCTCAAACGCATTCAGGACCACCTTCGCCGGCATGAGCTTTTGGAAAGGCATCAAGCTTGTGTGCCTTGTTGTTGCTGACAGCCACACTGGATCTCGCAATGCGTGGGCCTTGCCCCGGAAAGGAGGCACTGAATCGATGCGCTATGCTACAGCCGAGCTCTGTCGCTATCTCAATGTCTTGGGGCACAATGAAGTCACCTTGAAGAGTGACAATGAGCCGACATGTTTGGCGTTGAAGGCGGCAGTGAAGGCGTATCGCACCAAGCTTGGGTTGAAAACACACATAGAAGCCCCTGAGCCTGGAGACCACCAAAGCAATCCTGCTGAACAGGCCATCGAGTTCTTGCGCCAGTTGACATGCACCATCCTTGCTGAGTATGAAAAGGAGACAAAGACCGCAGTTGGATCTCTTGTTCCCATCCATGGATGGGCCTGGCGGCACGCCGGATGGATGGCACACAGGTTCGTGAAGAGCCATGGGATAACCAGCTTTGAGTTGGTCACAGGTCGTCCGTACAACGGGAAGATCATATCCTTTGGTGAGACCTGCTTTGGTCGCATCCGTAGCAAAGTCAAGGGTCATCCTAGATGGGTTAGAATGCTGTGGCTGGGCAAGCTGACTGTGTCCGACGCACATGTCGGCGTGACGCCTGGAGGCTTCTTGGTCTCGTGCCGGTCAGTGAGACGCATCCCCGAGCGTTTCAGTGATGAGCTTTGCACTGTGTTGCGAGATATGCCATACTCGCAAGCAGCTTTCCTCGCTGGCCATGTTGGACAAGCACGTGCACAGCGTACACCTGTGGGTGATGACGGGCCAGCTGTCAACGCAGAGGTGGTGCCGCCCGAGGCACCTCCACCAGAGCAGCGGCTCCTGCCTGACGACGCAATGCTTTCCGAACTTGTTCCTCAATTGCCTCGTCCAAGCATTGCAGCGGGAACGCCAGAGCCCCCAACGCCTCACCAGGCGGGGATTGCCTCAGCTAATGCAGTCAATGAAGATGTCGCAATGCCAGAACCAAGCCCTGCGGGTGTAGGGGCCAGCCCTAGTGGTTCTAGTTCCAGTGGGTCTAGTGGTTCTAATCAGGCTGGCCGTAGTCCTCCCGAGACCCCTGCAGATCATGTTGCGCCCGGAAGCAGTGAGCCTGCGCCTGTGCGAAAGAAGCTTCGTCTGATGGCAGTCACGAAAATTGGAGACCAGGAGTTTTATCATGTGGATGGCGAATCACCTGATGAAGAGATCGAGGCGGATCTTGGTGACGGTGATCTTGAGATTGCTGATGATGGACAAGAGCAAACCCTTGACATGCCCCAATCCTTGATATTTCCTTTGGACCACGGTGAACCGGAACTTTCCGACGAAGAGTTGGCACGCGTCGATCAGATCGCCATGGAGTACGAGCTGCAGCGGCTCGGGCGCATGAAAGTCTTGGCCCAAGTCGATGGTCCGATCCCGGGACACAGGACCCTGACCACGAAATTCGTGGTGACATGGCGTTTGAAATCGTTCGGGTGGATTCGACGTGCCCGCCTAGTAGCCCGAGAATACCACTTCCTGGACCCAGGACGCACTGGGTTATACTCGCCAGCTTCGAGCAGTCTAACCACAAGGCTCGTACCGGCCTTGTACATGACACACCGGAGCCAGGGATGGCATATGCTGTCGCTCGACGTGAGCGATGCCTACTTGACTGTAAGTCAAGAGGTTGATACGGTGACGTCAGTTAAGGTGGGTAATGGTGTAGTGGTCTGGTTTAAATTACACAAATGCCTGCCCGGACAGCGTGACGGCTCTGCAAGATGGTTTCGGGATTTCCAGGATGTGTTGGTTAGCCAATGCTGTGTGCAACCTTTTCCTGAGATGCCATCGCTGTTCCGTATGCCTCCAAATGAAAGCAGTGAAGGCGCAGGCGGGGAGTTTGAGCCGAACCCAGGTGCCACTGGGGGAGGCCTCATGCATGTTGATGACCTTCTTGCAACTGCCCACGGTGATACGCTTGAACATGTCGTTGCAAAGCTAAGTGAGCGCTACACCATCGCTGTACAGTGGATCAAAGACATTGGGGACGAATTGACGTTCCTAAAACGAGTGCATCGCTTGATTTCGGACACTGAATTGGAGATTCAGGTGCCACCTAAGCATGTGGATAAACTGCTCGAGTTGTGCAACCTCAAAGGTGCCAAACTTCGGCCCAGGAAAACCCCGTTTCCTTCAGGTAGATTGCCGACCGATGACCCTGGTGACACCGAGCTGCCAAGCGACATGGCATCCACATACCGGTCCGCAACGGGCATCTTACTCTATTTGCAGTCCGATACCGTTGCATGCCAGTTCAGCGTAAGGTTCCTGGCAGGGTTCATGCAGAAGCCGACATATGGCACCTGGAAGCTGCTTAAGCACCTGTTTCGTACTTGGCCCAGCATGAGCATCATCGTTTGGTCATTTCCACACCGGCAGTCGGTGTAGGCCTTAAGGTCCAGAAGGCTGAACATATCGTTGAGTGCTACACTGACTCAGACTGGAGTGGTTGCCGGCTGACACGCCGGAGCGTGTCTGGATGCGTGGTGCTGCTGAACTCACAGCTCCTTCATGCCTCATCGCGCACGCAGCGTGTGGTTTCCTTGTCATCTGCAGAGAGTGAATTCCACAGTGCAGTCGGTGGCTGCATCGACATCATCCTGTTGCATCGCGCTGTGACCTTCATGTTTGGGCCCGTTGCACCCGTCCAGCTGCTAATCGACAACGCCGAAGCGCGTGCGATATGCATGCGCACAGGTGTTGGACGTGTGCGCCACCTTGACGGTAAACTGTTATGGTTGCAGTCCAAAGTAGCTGATGGTTTGGTAAATGTAGTCCCGGTTGAGACGGCTTGCAACGTGAGTGATGTGGGTACCAAGTCCTTGAACCCAGGTCGCACCGAATACCTTTTGGGGCTGATGGGCATCAAAGATGCAGACAACGGCTATGCCCCTCTTGGACAAGCGCATGCAGCCATGATCGAGAATGCACGTGCAATCAGAGCAGTGTGTCGTGACTTGAAGCATGTTGCCAAACGTGGTGAAGCAAGTGCTCAGATGCTGTCGATCATGCTTCTTGCACTTCAGATGACGCCATCGTCTGGTCAGCCTGATCAGGATGACGACAGTGATGAGAACACAGGATTGTTCCATCAGTGCCTGATGTTTTTCTTCACAGTTCTTGAGTGCTTCGGGGATTTTTTGAGCCAGTATCCGTCCGTCGCAAGCGCTGGGTTGCAAGTGATGTTGCTCATCGTTTGCATGTTTGCCGCATCTTGCTGTTGCCGACATCGTGAGCCAGAAGCATTGTCGGTGCAATTGCAGGTTGGAAACTACGCAAACTACGTAGAAGCCGATGCAAGGTTGAGCAAAGGTCCACGCACGGGTGCTGCCGGTCGGTTCCACAAAGTGCTGAAAGCACCAGAGGAAAGTGCTCCAGGAACGCCTGCCCGGCCTTTGCCTCTTGGTTCTGATGATAGTGATGTGCCTGAAGAGCACAGAAAGGCAGCAGCCAGAGGTGCCAGGTCAAAGGCAAAGTCGAGTCCGCGGAACCGTGATGAGCAAGCTCGAGGAAGTGACGAGCATGCAGCATCCGAGAGTTCCGAAGTCATCGAGGAGGTGCCGCAAGCCCGTAGGCGCCCCAAGGCAGCTGCTAGACCGGCCCGAGTGCCCGATGTCTGGGTATCTACGAGACAAGGCTATGCGTTCCATCGCATTGCATGCACCAAGCTGAAGCATTCAGATGGAGTGACGGAAATCAGCCGCAGAGAAGCAGTGGAGAAGGGTTACACACCGTGCCGAGTGTGCAGACCCTGACGCGATGACATGCAGTAGATTGGCAATCCGAACCCAACAACTTGTTGTGCTATGCTTGGTAATGCTCATGATGCTTTTTGACTTTGCCCGGGCTAGCCGAAACTTGTTATGTTCCATTTTGGAACCAATCCCTTTTATGCCGCACTTCGAATGTGTTACTCCGAATGCCTTGATTTGAGTAGCCGACTCATCTCTCGTGCGATGGCAGCTAGGCCATCACAATCTTTTTACTACGAGCCTCAATGGCTAAGTGATGGCAACTCTGTTGCCTGTGGCCTCCGCTTGGGCAAACAAGCATGCATTTGAACTTCCTGCTCAAACGCAGCAGCTGTCACAAAGGCCTTGAGCTGGCTAGGGCAGATCAGCGAAACAGCTGATCGTAGTCGAAAGGGAGCCTGAGCTAAGTTGTCTGGTTTGTTGAAGTCAATGTGGGCGGAAATCCTTATGTACACAGATACTCCGAACCTCGAAGCACTGTGAGGCGGGGTGCTAAGATTTCCGTTTGTGTAGAAGCCCACATTTTGTTGTACTAATTTGTGTTTTTACTTTGCTCCCTGTAGTTGAGCCCGATGAATCTTGAGTGACTCCGCAGGCCTTTGAGTGTTCAAAATGTTAGCATGTTGGTAGAGTTTGGCCACTCGACCGACCCGTTGGTAGGGATACTACTGCCTATTGCAACTTCTACACCTTCACTGTATATATTCCCCAAGTTCTTCGTCCCGGTCCTGAGCTTTGGCTTGGTATAGCGGGCAACAATTTTACTCGGAAGTATATATTCTTCCGAACCTAACACCATGAACCTCCGAGTAGAGCCAAACCCCCCTCAAAACCCCTTAAGTGGTTCGGGGCCAAGGTAGAGCCTGGCTTCGGAGGCCTCTGAAAATCACACTGTACTTGCAGGTTCAGGGTTTAGGGTTTAGGGTTTAAGGTTTAGGGTTTAGGGTTCAGGGTTTAGGGTTTAGGGTTTAGGGTTTAGTGTTTAGGGACTTCTAACGGTACTTCTAGCCATACTGGGGCACTTGCGGGGCTGATAAGTGGGTGATAAGTGCAGGTGTATCTGGTTAGAAGTACCATGAACCTCCCAGGAGGGGCCTGAAGAATTAGCCGCATTCTTCAGTAATTGCGTGCATGAGCCGACTTGTTTGCTGAGTCGGCGACTGCTTTGAGAGGCTGCTGCCGTGTACACCGTCGTCATCATCATCCAGCATCATCCTCAGCGGCTTAGGGTTTAGGGTTTAGGGTTTAGGGTTTAGGGTTCAGGGTTCAGGGTTTAGGGTTTAGGGTTTAGGGTTTAGGGTTTAGGGTTTAGGGTTTAGGGTTTAGGGTTTAGGGTTTAGGGTTTAGGGTACTACTACTACTGGGTATTTTGTTAGGGGTTTCCAAATTCAGTATAGTCACTGTTCACCCTCTACAAGGCAACTGACTACTCCTCCAGCATGCCATCATTGGATGATAGGAGGTTGCAAGCCTGGGCGGTTTAGGGTTTAGGGTTTCGGGTTTAGGGTTTAGGGTTTAGGGTTGAGGGTTTGGGGTTTAGGGTTGAAGGTTGAAGGTTGAGGGTGTAGGGTTAAGGGTTCAGCGCACGCCTCACCACCCCTTCTCCGAAGTGGCCCCTGGCCCCGTCAAGTTTTGGGCTCCAGGATTCGCTAGGGACTGTGCGCACACGCAAAGAAGTGAGCTCTTGCTGTTGCAAGTGCTATTGCAGGGGAGAGCAGATTTCTGAATTGTGGGAGCTGTCATAAGATAGTAGTAGCTCAGATGCAGCTGACTAGGAGTTACGGAACCTCACACGGCGGGAACTACGAAGTACAGTCCGACAAATCCGGCCATGCCCATGAAGCTGTGCGGGTCTGGCAAAGCCACCACACCGCTTGAGCGCTATGCCAGATCTCTGGCAGAAGGCGCGGATGCATTTTCAAAGGAAACGCCACGCATGCTGTTCCCAATGTACACAGTGCCACTTGCGGAGTTGATGAACATGTCGGAGATCGATCCGCATGAGGTCTTGATGGACAAAGGTATCTAGGATGCCCAGTAGTGCCCTTATTCCCTTTTGGGGGGGTTTAGGTTCCCTTATAAACCCCTTTAAGCAAAAAAGGGCACCCTTTTTAATCCCAGGTTACTGGGCAACCCAGGTATGCTGGTGGAGTTTGAGGACAGCATGGGCAGCGCTGCCTTTGTTTCCCACCAATGGGTTGGCAACCAGCATCCGGATCCCGAGTTCAAGCAGCTGCGGGTGCTTCAGGATGCTTTCCATCATATGCTGTCCAAGATGACGCACATCCCCCTAGACCAGCTTACAGAGTCACTTGTGCCGAGATCAAGGTCCCTTGATTTACAGGCCATGAAGGCCCAACCACTCTTCGTGTGGTATGACTACTTTTCCTGTCCACAGCTCGAGTCGCACATCCCGGACCGAGTGGTCCACCAGATGAGCAATCTTGACCAGGCCATCAGTAGCATCCCAGCCTACGTTTCTAGAAGTACCTTCTTCTTTGCCCTGTGCCCAGTCGTTGACAGCGAAAGTCAGGGCAAGGTGTTCACGCAAGGCACCTGGGCAAGCCGTGGCTGGTGCAAGTTTGAGGCAGCATGCCGGGAATTGTCTCCAGATTCTTCGTGGATCTTGATCAAAAGCCGCACAGACGTGACTCTCATTGCTACGCCATTGGCATCCATTGCACAATCGCCGGGTGAGGGGGCCTTCAGCGTGGAAACGGACAGACGGCTGCTGGCACCAATCATGCTGCAAGCCATCAGGCGCAAGTTGCATTACTGCTTGAGGAGAAGAGACTTCGTCAGCTACCGTGTTCTCTTGAGTCTTCAGAAGGTTCATCTGCGAGGCTTCCAGGCGCAGCCCCTGGGGAATCTGATTCCTGGTTACTCAGAACCGGAGTTGGTCGTCTCAGAGTCTGCCCGATCAGTGTCCCACTTCCTTTACCAGTATGGTTTTTCTTCAGTGAGGGCAGTGGACAGTCAGGGCTGGGCGCCCCTACACTATGCAGCTCTGTCCGGGGATGCAACTTTGCTCAGAGACTTGTTGGAGCAGCGTGCTGATCTGAACTGTGTCACGAAGAAGGATCAACATCTGGCAGGGATGCCCCCTTTTGCATCGGCACTTGCCATCTCTGCTTCCTTCAACCACAACGAGTCTGTTCGCCTGCTGCTTTCGTGCAAGGCCCGTCCGGGTGGCCTCCTGCAGCCGGCGATGGTCATGGCTGCGCTGGGAAACAACGCAGCAGCCATTCGCATGTTGTGCGAAAGTGGATGCAGCCCGAACACCAAGGAGGGGCTTACGAAAATTAGGGACCCCAATTTAATCCCCCAAATATTAGGATTCCCTTATGATAGGGATTCCAATACGGTGCCCCTAATTTCGGAAACCCCCAGGACGTGTTTGGCTTCTCCGCTTTTGAAGCTGCTTGTGGTTTTGGCAACATGGAAGCCGCGAAGGAGATCCTCCGTCAGGGAGGTGATACTGTCGATGTATCTCGCGGGCTCTACTGCGGCATGACCAACAGAGGACTCAGGGTCTTTTTGTTTTGAGAATACTTTTAAACTGTTGGGTATTAGACTTCCTAAGAAACGGCGTAAATTAGATTTTTCGCTAGGGTTCCAAGATCTGCATAGAGGAGGTACAGCCGAGCTTGTGGAGTTTTTGCTCAGTCTTCGTGCTGATGTCGATCACCAATTCCGGCTGTCGTCGATGTCCACCATGGGCAGAGTACTCGTTGCGGGCAAGACGCTTCAACACAGGTTTGGCAAGCAAACCATGGGTAGCAAAGCGTCCTATCATGGCCAGGATGTCACACCTCTCATGGTAGCCGTGATGTCTGGGCAGTATGAGGGGGCCGCTGCGCTTTTGGCAGCGGGAGCCCGGACGGACCTTCGCAACTCGCGCAGGAAGACGGTAGCCGACTTCGCCGCGGAGAAGGGGCTGCCTCGATTCCTGCAAGAGGCGCTGGAAGACGGGCAAAGAGGCGAGGTCCAGCGAATAGCTTCAGCTGCTCTGGCGAATAGCCACTTCGAAATCTAGAGGAGGATGACGACGCTCCTTCGGCAGCCAAGAGACAGCCGAAGATTGGTTTCAGGGGGCGTCTGAAAGATGGTACCTTGAACGCCATACGAGCGTCGGGAGCCCAAAGGCAGCCGAATCTTTCTCAGCTGAGAACTAGAGGAGGATGACAACACCAGCTCCTTCGACAGCCAAGAGACTGCCGAAGATTAGTTTCAGGGGGTTCTGAAAGACGGTGTCCTGAACGCCATACGCGCGTCGGCAGCCGAATCATTCTCAGTTTGGTTTGAAACTGATCTAGGGCTCCTAAGAATGACACAACAGATACAATAGTAGTATAGGGTACTAGGGTACTAGGGTAGGGTTTAGGATTTAGGGTTTAGGCTGCAGGGTTTCGGGTTTAGGATGTAGGGTATAACTTGGGGGTTCTACCTCCCAGGAGTCTGGGAAGCGCAGGCATCATGCCGACCCGATTTTCCAGTGCCTGGCCTGAGCCCGGCATCTGTCGGGAGCTGCTATCTCAGTGGGTTTAGGGTTTAGGGTTTCGGGTTTAGGGTTTCGGGTTTAGGGTTTAGGTTACAACAATCTCCGTTTGATACATTTGAGTGTTTCGATTTGCTCCGAGATTCAATGCCCGTGTATCTTGCGCATTTTGGGGGGCCTTGAATCGTGGAGGAATGTCCGGCTTTGTCAACGACAGGTAGCCTAACCCAACGACCTAAATCAAACCTCCCTGCAACCCTAAACCCTAAAACCCTAGACCCTAGACCCTAAACCCTAAACCCTACAAGCAGTTGCAAGCCATTGCAGAACTACTCAAGTTGGGGTTGGGGTGGCCGTGCCTGTTCCGGTGAACATGTCGCAGAGCAGATCGAGGGACCTGCTAAGCAGAACACGCGACTCCCTCTCGTGGCCCAGCAAAAAGCAAGCGCTTGATGAGAAGCATGTCTTCAGCCCTAAAACCGAAACTCTAAACCCTAAACCTTGGGCGCTTCGGGGAAGCCCTGGGCAGAGAGTGCCGGGTCAAATTCACTTAGCACGTTGCTCTGATGAGGTCGTACAAACCGAAAAGACCCGACCCGGCTACTAGTACTTGGAGGTTCATGGGTACTTATAAGTAGGCTTATAAGTAGGGTAACTATGGTTATAACCCTATTTAGGGTACTGATAGCCCTACTTATAAGTACCCATGAACCTTGTAGTACCGCTGCCCAAGTTGCTCCCGCAGGTGGCCGCCAGTAAGGCCATCGCCATCCTGCAGCAGCGGGGGCCTCAATTCAGAGCTCAGAACCCGAAACCCTAAACCCTAAACCCTAAACCCTAAACCCTGTAGCCTATACGAGAAATTCGCTTTTGAGGATCAGGTTGTTTTTTGCTGACAGCCTTGGGAGTTGGGATGTTCCCCCTTATACGAACAGTCCTTAATTGGGGTTCAGAGGGTTTAGGGTTTAGGGTTTAGGGTTTAGGGTTTAGGGTTTAGGGGTTTAGGGAGGTTCGGGGCTTAGGGTTTAGGATTATAATTGGGGGTACCAAAGAGCGATTAAGGATTGTTAGTATAAGTGCGACAAGGGTTTGTGCTGAAACTCCCATAGGATTCAGTATTTAGGGTTATAAAACAGGCACCTTTACGGATTCACTCTTCTAACCCCATATCAGGTGCGAGGCAGGTCGCGTACCATTAACATGACTGTTTGCTGAGATTTTTAACTAGAACACTATAACGGTTACGAATGTCATTACTAAAAACAGTTACTGTTGCCATGGAAGCCCCTAAACCCTAAACCCTGATAATTGGACTTTCAGTCCATGTCTCGACATCCTTCCACTTGCTGCTAGCCTCTTGCGTGTCATGCTATCACGGCAAGGGGACCCCCCCCCCCCCCCCCAAGTTGGGGTTTGCGACCCTCAACCCTAAACCCTCAGTCCTAAACCCTCAACCCTCAACCCTAAACCCTAAAACCCTTCAAGCCTGGGTTACACTTCTCATGGATGGAGGGTGACTTCAATTGCTCCATTGAGGCAGCCTCTGCCGCGAGCCCAAGACTCCTTGTACATGGCCACATACTCTTCAACTTCGGAAAAGCCTGTAAATCACAACAGGAAGCCTTGCAAAGTTGAAGGGGCATCCTTCATTTCAAGGCATTGGGCTGTCAGGGTTCCCTATATCAGTGCAGGGCATCTCTTGAGAGGTTCTGACATTGGGCTCTTGTCCTTGACAAATCAGAGAGGGGATACCAACTTACCCTAAACCCTAAACCTTAAACCCTAAACCGGTC